AGCAAAACCAGAGATTTTTTCAAACCATATAATCTATAACACTGTACACTAGTATGGCCCGCAAAAGACAGGTTCTTCTACTTTTCAACATAATTCTTCTGTGTCTGATTTCTGGACTGGCATAGGTATAATCAGTATCAGCATCACTTCATTTGTAATACTACTACGTATAGCAATAATATTAATACTATATTATTACTATTATGCTGCTTTTATTATACAGTTATTATGTATAGTAATAGTGATTTTATTATTATGTTTTTAAATTGAACATATGAAATGCCAATACAGTATTACTTGTGGTCAGTCCAGTGTTATTCTTTCGTGATGAAACTTCACAGATTTATACATCAGCCCTTCCCATACATGTTGGTTAGGAATAGAATGTCTTGTGTATGCTTCAGTGAACTTTAAAAAATTCAAAATAGGACTCTTTTTTTGTTTTTCCTCTACCAGCCAGACTTACAAAACAGAGACAATGTGCATGGACTATGTAGCAATGATCACATTAATTTTCACTCTTTAGTAAGAATGCAGTCAAATCTGATCAACAAGAGAATTTAAGACAAGAACTTTAGAAACAAATAAACTCACAGGGTATGTCAGAACTGAGTTGATCAACGTTAACAAAATGAATCCCCCAGTTCATGTATTGAACCTTAGAATTCTCTCCCCCAGATAACGTGTATACTGTATTTATAGTAGCATTATACTGTCACTCTCCTCAACTTCAAAAATGATCACATTTTATTTATCCTTTTAAAATATTTATTCTGATGAAGAGCTAAAGGCTAGATGGAATAAATGAAGAACTATCAGTTGGAAGTGAGGGAAGCTGTAAAGGTCTAGAGCCTATTCAGATAAATGTTCAAAAATCGCATGAGAATAGTTTCTCTTATGAGAATTTCAGTATTTTCTGGTTTTATTCTGCCCCAATACCAAATTTTAAGATAGACTCCTGATTCATAAGTCAATTGTAAATGGACCAAACATTCACTGAGGAGAAATAATTCAGTACATTGACTACCAGTACATAATATCCTACACACTGTGTGAAAACAACACTTTCCTTTTCTTGTGTATCCTCAGGCCCCATTTCATGAGGAAACACTTGGGGGATATGAGTTAGGAAGTCCCTTAGGAAACGTAGTGTGATAATTGGATTTGAATTCTTGTGATTCATTGATTTGATCACCAGATTCCCAAATAGGAATAGCAACAAAATATGAATTGCTCTTTCTTTGTCCATCCATGGGAATGCCC